AGAGAGAGAGAGAGAGAGAGAGAGAGAGAGAGAGAGAGAGAGAGAGAGAGAGAGAGAGAGAGAGAGAGAGAGAGAGACAGAGAGAGAGACAGAGGAAAGAAGGAGAGAGATGACCAGCAGCACAATAAGGAGATGACCTGTGATGACAACAACGATGATAGACGATAGTGAGCTCGATGATGATGGCGATGACAGGGATGGGACCAGATGCAACTCACCATCCGATGCTCCTTCTCGAACGGACGGCAATCGCTTTACGTTTAGTCCGGTGTTCCTCTCGCGACAAAGGGGGACCACCCACATAGGCCGTCGGGATCTCAGCCTCTCTTCACCCCTTTCCTCCGCCTTGCCCTCACCCTTCCGCCGTTCCTAAAGACGACGGAAAAAGAGAGGAATATGGGCCCTCCAGATATATCACGGATCTGAATCTCCGCGAGCCCACTTATCGAGCCTTAAGGGAAAGGCTGGTCCGCTGGAAACTGGTTGGTCATCACTTGATTGATTGGTCGCTGGGATTTTTGGCCGCTGATGACTGATGGATCAGTGTAGGGCACACGATGTGGAAGATGGCCAGTTCTTGCACAAAGCCTTCGGCGGCCTTTAGATGATCATGCGGCGTCCGCTACTCATCAATCAACGGAACGACACGGTTGATGGCACTCGATCTCATTAGATGATACAAGTTACAACTGCATTGGGCACTCATTCTCATGAGATGATACAACTGGATTGGGAAAAAAAATCCACCTTGGCAATTCTTTTTTCTGTTTTTACGTCAAAAGATTTCCTCTCGGCGCCACTGAGGCGAAACTTGCGCCAGAAGCAGCGTCAGCCACACAACAGGATGAATCTGGATCTGGACTACTTGACTACTTGCTCTATATATATCGTCATTCGATTTATGCAAATTATAATACTATTGACATATATAATTTATGCTTGTCAACATATAAGCATATTTGTCACGGATCCAGCGGCCTAGCTCAGTTGGTAAGGCACGCAAGTGGCATTCAGGAGGTCTTGGGTTCAATCCCCATTGGCCTCATGTACCTTCCTGGGCAAGCTTGGCGCCCGCCACCTAGAGATATGCCGTTGGTCCCCCCGAGTGGCATTGAGCAGAGACTGCTGATGTTCATAGGGGGAGGGGACCGGAGGGGAGGCACAGTGACTGGCCCATCGAAGAAGCTCGGTCCTGATGTTACCGGCTGACCCCTGGCCGGTATCGCCTTAGCAGGTATCGCACCTGCTGGTGGGTGCAGCTCCCGCATGTTCCCTCGTTGGAGGCTTGAGCACGGATGTGGCTGCTACGGGGTTCCCTGTAATACTATAATGAACAATAAAAAAGACCTGAAAGGCCGTCCTGTCCAGATTTGACAGGTAATTGAATTGGTTGGGCTTAAAGAATTAGCCTTTTAAAAAACTATATATATATATATATATATATATATATATATATATATATATATATATATATATTTGTCACGGCAGACCGCAGGGCCGGCGAGCCCCAGAAATCTCCAACCCGCCGTTGGAGCGCATACCCAGCACTGCATTGCATGAAAATGGGAAACCAAACGCCAGAAAGCAAAACATCAGCCGCCGGAACGACCACCAGACCGAATGGCTCGGGCATTGCTTCATTGGTGGCCACACCTCATGTTTTCTTCTTTTCACCCCATTTATTTGCAGCCCTAGATTTTTGTGCATGTTCGTCCACGCACAGAAAATCGTCAAAGTTGCCTCTTGCAAAATGCCTATTTCATTGTGTCTGACCTCCCTGTTTTGAGAAGACGGGGCTCAATGCCTGGGCCTGAGGGCCCTTTTGCAGTTCACATGTCTGCACTTCTGTTTGGGGTCCGTTTCTACCCGGGGACCGGTCGAACGCCCCCCACTTCTTTTTGGGGTCGACTTCCACCCGAGAATCGGTCCTTCCTTTTTCCAAAAGTCCTGGTTCTACCAGAGCTAGCTGTAGGTAGTCCGCAATTTTGCCAAGGACCGGTCCCCCAATTTTTTTTGCCCCCTAAGAACCCACTTTGCGTCCTGGTCGCCTGCCGCAAAAAATACGACACAAGCCATGGGTGTAAATGTGCGCACAAGAGAGAGAGAGAGAGGCTGAATGACAGCATTGGAATATGTGTCAAATTGCGGACACGATTGGAGGTGGGAGGGCTACCCAAAGATTTTTTTTTTTTTTAAAGAGAGAGAGAGAGAGAGAGAGAGAGAGAGAGAGACTGAATGACTAAATTGGAGTACGGGTCAGATTGTGGTCGCGATTGGGGTGAGGGCTACCAACAGAAAAGGAAAGATATAAAATTTGAAAAAAAAAGAGAGAGAGAGAGGGGTTGAATGATAAAATTTGAATATGACTCATATTATGGACGCGATCTATTTCGCAGTTACAATGGTTTTTTTAATTTTTGAAAATATTTTTCTTGGGAAGATGACAACAAACTGTATGAGCAGTCCAATTTTAAGCATTTGCTATATATTTTTCTGAGCGTGAGAATTCACTGAAGTTGGAGAGAGAGAGAGAGAGAGAGAGAGAGAGAGAGAGAGAGGTTGATTGACAAAATTGGAGTATGGGTCAGATTGTCGTCGCTTCGCTTAGGGTCATTTGTAGTTAGGTGTTTGCTAAGAACCTGAAAGTTGACTTTACAAAAAATGTCATTTCGTATGGCTTTCACTTAGAGCCATTAACTTTTGCAAATTGTTTGATGGCTTTCACTTAGCGCCTTTTTTTAGTTTCATATGCCATTTATATAGATGAAAGAGCAATGAGACTAAGTGCATTCGTGAGAGAGAGAGAGAGAGAGAGAGAGAGAGAGTAGAGGGGTGGGGGACTACCAAAGAGAGAGAGAGATAAAGAAAGAGAAAAAGAGAGAGAGAGTCTAAATGACAAAATTGGAATATGGGTCATATTGCGGTCAGTTGGAGCACTTTATTATTGGCCCACACATGGTTGAGTGACAAAAATTGAAACGATTTTTGAAATTGGCAGATTCTTTGCAAATGTTTTTAAGCACAAAAAATTGTCAAAGTTACTCTTGCAAATTGTGGGATAGGACCCGTTGGTACCCCTTTTGTGTAGGGGTGTAGCAAAAAGCAACGTTCATGGCCTTTTTTTAGTTTCATATGCCATTTATATAGATGAAAGAGCAATGAGACTAAACGCACGCGTGCAAGAGAGAGAGAGAGAGAGGGAGAGAGAGAGAGAGAGAGAGAGAGAGAGAGAGTAGAGTAGAGAGGGGGGGGGCTAGCAAAGAGAAAGTCCTTTTTAGGAGAATAAATTGTCAAAGTTACTCTTGCAAATTATGGGATAGGACCTGTTGGTGCCCCTTTTGTGTAGGGGTGAAGCAAAAAACAAGGTTCATGATTGTTTATGAATGTAGGCGGTATGTACAGAGATTAAAATTCATAGGTATTAGCTTATCAAAGGACATTTTTTAGAGTAAAGTGTTATAGACTGGCAGAAATCACTGGTGCAGGATTAATCATCTAAGTCTTTTGTTTTTATGAAAAATTAGTCTGTCTACGTATATAAATAGGAAATGATGTACATATTGAAGTTGTAGCATTAGCAAAGTGATGGAGGAGAGAAGGATGAACACATGAGAAAGATTGAAGGACAAATAGAAATAATGAAGCTAAGTGTAATATTTGTATGAATAAAACTATACAACGTATAAGATTTTTATGTATTTATATATGCTACAAAAGTTTATCCCTGCCTTTTATTTTCTCTATTTCTTTCACTCACATCACACACACACATGAATTCGCAATGAACCTTTCAGGCCGCTGCTACACAATGTCACACTGGATCGGGCACACTTCTATTTAGTTGCTAATGGGGCCACGCTCAAGGTGACCCAAGCGACCTTTGGTACTCACGACAGCTACACATAGACACCTACATATGTACACCTGCATACACACACACACACACATATATATTAAAAAAAAAACGCATACACTGGTGCACACACGCAAAAACGATGAAACTTTTACTGATCCGCTTCCACTCGAGGACCGCTCAAACGTCCCCTACTTCTTTTTGGGGTCCACTTCTACCCAAGGAGCAGTTGTAGGTAGTCCACAATTTTTTCAAGGACCGGTTCCCCAATTTTTTTTGCCCCCTAACAACCCACTTTGCGTCTTAGTCGCCCGCTGCTAAAAATGTGACACGTTGATACAGACGTGGAAGCCCACTTGAAATGCATCTATTGTGATGAAGTTATTTTTTCCTTGTTTTTGTTGTTGTTGTTTGTGGTGGTGGTGGTGGTATTGATGGTGGTTGTGAAGTTTCTTGTGCAGGTGCTCGATATACGGAATGCGATGTATTATTTGCTATTACTAATGACGGTGTTAGATTATTGTATTTTGTATTAAATGTTGGCATTTCTTTGTTAAAAAGGTCATGCAATTGTGACCTGTTGTTCTTTTTAAATATAAAGAAGTTTTAATCAGTGGCGGTTGATGACTTTCTTTAACGTGCCAGATTGTTGCGTTTCTAAGGTATTTGAATATCATTTTTATAGCATTGTCAATGTTTTTTGCTAATACATTCATTATGTTGTCGAGTGTTGATGTGTTAAATAAATCTTTGTCTGCTAAATAGACATCTAAAATATTATCTCCTTGTGTTGTTATTCGTTTTTATGGGTATACAACAATGTCTTCTTATCTAATAGATAACTCGGTGTTTGATCCTATCGCTCGTATATCTGTCATCCAGTCTCTGCAACTTTCAATTGTAGTGAGGGTTGTTTCTGAAATATCTCGAACTTGTTGTATCTCCTTGTCGATTTGATCGCGTTTTCTCTTGAGTGTTTCAATATCAAACCTGTAAAACAAAGAATACATGTAATCAATATGAGTATGAAATTGTAAACATGTTATTTGTATTTGTTATATTTGTTTTTGGTTTTTGTTGTTTTACTATTTTTGTAGGGTAATCGGCGTTTGAATGTGTATTTCACATAATCGATAACTTATTAAAAAAGTTTAAAGTTTGGACTTTGGATGAGACTTTTAACACCTTTACGTACAGAGGTTGGCTTAAAGACTTTTGTACGTATGGGGTGGTGACTTTTATTATTATTATTATTTTTTTAATTATAAAATATGTTTTTGATAGAAATAGTGATAAATACTTACGATGTATGAGTATTCTTTTGTTAGTTGTCTTGGCTTTCTGCATGTCTTTTTCCGTACTCCATGATGCTGTACAAATAAAATAGACAGAAGACAAAAAAAAACATGTTAGTTTTTTTTTTCGTATTTTTTTAAAAATAAAGTATATGCATACGTGTTTGTTAAAACTATTTGTGCAAAGTTGAAAGTATAGAGGTTTGATTAGTGGTTAGAAAACTTACCGAAGTAAAATTTTGTAGCAAGAATTTGTATGTAGTTAAAAGGACAGTCGCGAGAGTTTTTCAAAGACAGTTCATATATTTTTAGTTTTTTTTTTTATGTCGGTTGTTTTTTTTAATTGATAAGTTTTCTAAATTTAATATTATTAAAACGTTTTATGTTATTCCAAGTGCATTGGTTTGTTGTTCTATTGTATTTGTTATTTTAATAAATAATTTGCAAATATATTTTTGTGTTGTATATTGTTTATATGGGTAAGGATA